AGACAGGTGCGGTGGTGGTTTTCCTTTTTTTTTTTCTTTTTTTTTCCTCTGGGGGGAAAGAGGGCATGGGGTCACCCCAGTTTGTCCTGTGGGGTTATAGGGTGAGGGCCTGTTTGTGGAAGCTGCGTTTATGGGCACTTGTAGGATGTTGGTGGCTGTGGTGAGCTGTATGCCTTACTGCCATGGGCCCTAACCCAGAAAGTGGTGGGAGGGGGTTTTGACACCTTCCACATAAGCAGGCACCTAATGCAAGAAAACGCTGACAGGCTAAGCTCAGGGAAGGGGAAGATGTAAACTAATCAGGTCGCGGTATGTGTGTGGAGAGGGGGATGGGGCCAAAGCTGTTGGGATAATTGCCCACTGTTCCCTCTAGGTATCCAAACCGCTGGCAGTGGCCACCGAAGATGAGGTAAGAACAGATTGATGCATCTCCTTACTGCTTTTCTCATCAACACTGTTTGTTGTTTTTTTCCCCTTACCTGATACTAATCTTTCCATCTGACAAGCCCGTTCCTTCTTCTCATGCTCCATGGCTCTGCCTGTTCATCTTCTATGCCATGTTTGTAATCCATCTCTTGTCTTTGGCAGCTGGTTGGAGAGTTCCTGCAAGCACAGAATGCCCCTTTACTGTCCCGTGCACCCCAGACCTTTAAGATGGATGACTTGTTGGCTGAGATGCAAGAGATTGAACAGTCAAGCTTCCGACAGGCCCCTCAGCGAGGTGAGGGGGAGCTAGAATAGGTGGAGAGCTGGAAAACATCTTGGTGTTATGGTTAAGCTCCTTACAGCGTGGTTTCCATTTATTCAGCACTTGTGAGGTGGTATCTGGGGTATTGTTTCCAGATTTGGGCTTCCCTCTACACTGACATACTGGAACAAGTCCAGTGGAGATCAATAGGGTGTTCAGGGACTGAATACGTGGTGTAAGGGGAAAGACTGAGGGAACTGAATTTGTTTAGCCTGTGAAAGGGGAATCTAAGGGGCAGTGGGTTTGGGGGGTGGAGTGTCTAGTTGCTGCCTTCACCAGCCACAGCCAGGATCTTCACAGCAGTACACAGTAAAAGGACAAGGGTCAATGGGCACAACTTGCAGAAAGGGTAACTGACTAGATGCAGGGAGGCATTTCTTCCCTTGGAGGGCAATTCAGTACTGAAACGGGTGCCTAGGGAGGCTAGGGAATTGCCAGCCTGAGAGAAGTTCAGAAGTTACCTGATGAATACCCTGAGCAACCTAATCTCTAGCTTTAGTGTTAACCTGCTGTGAGACCACTAGCAACCTCCAGAGAGTCCTTCCAAGTGGAATCTTTCTGTGATTTTATTCTAACAAAGGGAAAGATGGTGAGGGACAGCCTGGAACACTTAGTCCTCCAATCCTCACTTCTGTTTTTTTAACTTCTTGTAGCTCCAGGTGTGGCAGCCCTGGCACTGTCTGAAAACTGGACCCAGGAATTCTTGGCTGCAGCAGACAGCGCTGGTGATGTCTCTTCAGATTACAATGAGGCTGACTGGTCACAGGAGTTCATTGCTGAAGTGACAGGTGAAGGGTCGCTTTTGGAATTACTGTCAAGATGTCCAGTCACATGCCTGTGCATAGTGGAGAGTTATTGAATGTGAAATTGGAGTAAATGCTTTGAGCCCAGCAGGCAGTGTTTACTGTAGCAGCTTTAATGGGGTGGGGGTGGCGGGAAGCTGCTTTGCGATGGTTTAGCCAAATCGTGAACAATGTGGCGTGGAAGCTTTTATTCAGGTGTAAGGGTCTTTAGCTTTGGTTACTTGGAGAACTTGAGAAGCAGGCTATTCAAACTACTTTTATAAAAGTTACTATGATTCAACTGATGCAAATTCTGGAGGTGATCTGGTACTGCTTCTTGCTTACATATTCTCTTATTCCCTCTCTTAAGGCTAAATTTGCCTTTGCTACAAAGGCAAATACTGTTTAGTGCTTTGGCCAAATAGTTTTTGTCAGTTTCATGGAGGTAGAGGGAATGTCGCACGTTGGAAGTGTGCAAAGTGAATGTTTCTGACCCAAAGGTTAAGCTGTCTGTTTCAAGCAAGCCAGTAGTTTATCTGAAAAGCCATCCTGCATTGTGTATAGAGCTGGGGCTGGAATAGGGTCCTGTTACCATCCATGACCTAATCTGAAAGTTTGAGTAAGATTTAAATAGGTGCCATTCTCTTCTCCAGGAGTAGCCACTGTAGAGAGCCAGGTAGTTCCATTATATGACCTTCACTCTTTATACTTATGGGAATGTAAATCAGCATTTACAAAGGTCTTTGAGAAAGCTCTGATGAAAACCTAGTGCTTTGTGGGCTGTGCTTTTGACAGAGACTTGTAATACATTGTTAATTTCCTTGACATACATAGTATCTCGCATGGAGCAGAATAAGTTGTGAAATTAAAGTAGAAAAACCATAAGGTTATTGGCACCACAGTGGAATCTGTATTAATACACAATCTGAATCTAAGGCTTGATTTTTAGGTTGGAGTAAATAAAGTTAGAAGAAACAAGTGTAAACAATCTTTCTTTGAAGAGGTCTTCTCTGTGATTAGCTAACTGTGTAATATGGAGACAGCAAAATCTGAAGTTTATTTGAGTGATGGTCTGCCTATCCTACTCGTTTCCCCATTTTTCCTGATGTCCTCTGCAGATCCGCTATCTGTGTCTCCTGCCAAGTGGGCAGAAGAATATCTAGAGCAGTCAGAGGAGAAACTGTGGCTTGGGGAATCGGAAGACCAGTCTTTGGCGGATAAATGGTGAGTCTGTCTTCTCAAGACTAGTTACTGCTGCTATGTACTTGGGTGGTGAATCTTGGATAGGTGATTGAAATCTGCTATGGCCCAAATGCTTTTGAGTCATTTAACCTAGGTGGATGTTCTTGGGCATTTGGTTTCAGAGAAAGGAGGAAACAATGCTTGGAGACTGAAGTTTTTAAGAAATGTTAGCTTTTCTGTTTTCCACTTCCAGGAAGATACTGTGATCGTGTAGGCTAACTTAATCTCATGCCTAATGCAAAGCTCCTTAAAGTGATTTCAGGAGTGAGTTCAGAAACTCCTAGCCAAGCAGAACGTTTTTCCACAACAGATGCTTCTTTAGATTTAGAGATCTTAAGTACTAGACTTTGCTAGTTGTAACCTGTTACCATTTTATTCTCCCTAACAAACCACATCCAGCCTTTTCTCTGCATGTTTTTAGATTCAGCCTTTCAGACGTTATTTTCATGTGTTTTTGTGTGGTAGATTAAAGAACAGTGTACTACTACGCATCTTCTGTGTTTAGGTACCTGTTGACTAGAGTCAAGTTTTTCAATTAAAGAAGCAAAACGCAAGCAAGCCGTTTGGGCTTGTTTCCCTAAAACAGATTTTGCAAATTTGGATTCTTCTTCTTCCTGGCTCTTGCCTTTTCTGATACCTTTCTGCAAATACAGACATTCCTGAGTTATTGCCACCAGTTCCAAAGACTTCACTGAGACTGAATGTAGTGGTAACACCTGGAACTGGTCCTCTACTGCTGTAAGCCAGACAACATATTGAGTTGTGTGCTTGCTATGAGCCCTCCATCCTCTGTGGAGCTGATGCTTTTCCAAGACTCTGTTCCTCTTCCATGAGCATGACCTACTTTCTTTGTTCCTAGATATATGACCTTGTTTTTGGTAGTGCTGAAACTTGCAGTGTCTGATAGCGTGTGAGCTTGCCAAGGAATCCGGACTGTTCTGCAGAACTGTGCTGCTACTGTAACTGTTCAATTCTGCTAGTGTTTGTGTCAGTCACTTGCACAGTTAACCTAGTAGTAATTTTGAATTTTTACAGATGGATAAAGGTACTGAGTCACTTAGGAGAACCGCAGAGTGTTTGAGGAGGGGTTGTATTGTGTAGACTGTTAGCGAAAGAGATCACTGTTGCCTGGTATCAGACTCTCTCTTTCCCTTTTACTGCCTCTGAACACAGGTATGAGGAATATCAACCTGAGGATGATCTTAAGAAAACTGTTAGTGATTTTCTTTCCAAAGTGGATGATCCAAAACTCAAGAATTCTGAGGTAAGAAATTCCCTGATTGGGGCTGACAGATATCTAGTGTGAATAAGGGGTGTGGGGAATTGAGAAGGGTTAAGACGGTAAAGGAATAAAGCCTCCTGCTGTCCCATGTTTCCATTTCTCCCCTGATTGTTGGAAGTTGAACCCCACAATCCACTCTAGATATTATCCATCTCTACCACATGACTCTGGTGAAGTTCTGTCCTCCCCACCTTTTTGGGCCTTTTGTGCTCACTTTGCAGAGAGAAGTCCTTAGTGAAGTCTTAGTGAAGGAGGGGGGCATGGGCAAAGGGCTTGTTGGCAAAGTGTCTGCCCAGCTCCACCCTTGTTTCATTTCTCTGCCACAGTTCCTAAAGTTTGTCCGCCAGATCGGAGATGGGAGGGTATCGATCGAAGCTAATCAGGTGACCCACAGAGACCAAGATCAGGCAGAGCAATGGGCAGCTGAGTTTATACAGCAGCAGGTAGGAGCCCCAGTCGTATGTGCTCTGAAGGAGGAAGGCTTTTTGCCAGAGTGCACAGTCTGGGAGCAAGGGAGAATGGCAAGTCCAACTCTCAGCAACGGTCTACTAATGACTCGGCTGGGGGAGGCGAGGGAGGGGCTGTTGGGCTCGTCTTAGCAGAGTCTAGCCAGAAGGTGGGAAGGTGTTTGGGCAGTGTGAGTTTTCTCATCTCCTGTAGTAACTGGGAGGAAGGGGATATCCAAGTGAACTCTTTTCCACTTTACAGGCCATCAGTTCTTGCTGATGGGGAGGAGGGGTTCATCACAGACCCTCCTGCTGTTTTGAGATGTGCCCTGAGGTTGCCAGATTCTAAAAAGAAAGGTGTGTTTCTGTTTCCAAACTCCCAGGGGGCATCCGATGCCTGGGTGGATCAATTTGCGCGATCTGGAAACATGTCAACTCTTGATACGGAATTTGAGCAGGCAAAGACTGCTGTGGAGGTAAAGCTGGCGGAGGAGGAGGGCTGGGGTACCAACTGAGAGCCCATGGTAGGATTACCGCTCTCCTTTGCATGCTGTGAGGAGGGCTAGAAACATTTAAGAGGGTGTCTATAGAGCTCGGTTTATGGTTAAGGTACTGTAGTCACATTCTGTTCTCCCTTCAGTCAGATGTGGACTTCTGGGACAAACTCCAGGCGGAATGGGAGGAGATGGCCAAGAGAGATGCAGAGGCTCACCCGTGGCTCTCTGATTATGAAGACCTCAGCTCCTCATCATATGACAAGGTAACAGAGAACAGAGTCTCTCAGCACAAGCACTGTGATGGACGGCCTTGAGGAGACTGGCAGTATGGCTGTCTTGCGGATGAGCTCCACAGACCCTGAATGCTGCTGCTAGGATTCCTTCTTGCACTGACCTTTTGCTGTCTCTTGCACCCTCATCCCAGATCAGCTAGGGGTTAAACATATACTGTTTTCACTTGTGCTTGTCTGCAAATGCTGCCTAGTTCTTGCCCAACACCAAATACCAGTTAATGCTGGGATTCTTTGCAATGAGTGCAAGTGCTGTTGCCCCCCGGCCCCCAGGCTGATAGGACCCACACCAGATGTTTAGTTTTTTGCGACTAATTCCAGGTCTGATTCGGGGGAATTTTTTCAGCACAGAGCAAGCAGGAAGAAGAGCTGTTGTTCTCTGATCTGCTACAAACTCGCAGAGAGGACAAGGTGCTGGCTGGTCTGCAGTTTGAGTGTTTCTGATGCAGCAAGACTATGCTGTACTGTAGAGTGTGCTTTTCTCCCTAAGCCTGTCTCCCAGCATTAGCCCCTGTGTGTCTTCCCTGCTAGGGTTACCAGTTTGAGGAAGATAATCCCATGAGAGATCACCCAGATGCGTTTGAAGAGGGGCGGAAGCGCTTGGAGGAAGGTGACCTCCCCAATGCCGTCTTACTCTTTGAGGCTGCAGTGCAGCAGAAGCCAGATCATATGGAGGTGAGTGAGAGCAGAGGTAATGGGCCTTGGCCAGGTGTCCTGCTTGTTGGATCCTTCCCTAGTGAGGTGTCAGCGTGTGCATGTAGAAAACTCACTTCAGTGTTAGTAGCTTTGCAGGGTGTATGAGAACCTCTTATTTTTCTGTGGTTCTGGGTACGTAGCTGATGTACGTGAATCCCCAGGAGGGCTGTGGGCAAGGAGTCTTATGACTAAGGCCAGGTACAAAAAGTGCAAAGGCTCTGGCCCGTGGCTGGGTAAAATCTTTGGAGCACATGAGACCGCACAAAGCGAAGACAAGGAGTTCTCATCTCTTAAGTTGCTTCTGTGGAAGTCTTTATTGGCATTGCAAGTTTGGAGGTGCTTATGGCAGATGATAACTGCTTTCAATATCTGTATTAAAGACTGATTCTGAGCAGCTTCTTAGACTAGGGGTCCTGGTTAGGTCTTCCATCTAGATGCCTGGAGAAGAAATAACCCAAAAGGCTTGAGAGAGATGGCTCGGGTGTCTTCACTTGAAGCTATAAGCCAGAGAATGATTTTTATGCTGAGGACAAGTTTCCAGCTCCTAATTCAGTGAATACTTATTTTCATAAAGCACTTCAGCTCCTGCAGGATGGATTGAGAAATGCAGTAGTCTGTGCACCTTTCTCCAGAGGCAGAGGATGTGGATATTCCAGGAGGAAGAGGAAGAATGCAAATACAGCCATGCTGTCCGTTTCTGGAGTGCCTGCCTCAAGGACCCGGAGATGCTGAATTCTCAGTGTGTCTGATTCAAGCCCTGCTAATTGTGTACAATTGGAAATACCTAATTTGAAATACTTGAGGCTTAGATGAGAGTGATCTCTTGGAACAGAGGTTCTTGGCTTCTGGAAGTACAGGCATCTAACTTTCTAGGGTACTGGGAGTAAGTGAAAAGTAAGCAGAGGTTTTGGAGATCTACTTTAGCTTTAAAGTGGTCAAAAGGTGTTGCTAATGTTACTTTAGAATCAGTAGTCTCTTATAGCATAATGGAGAGGTAGTTGAAACCTTAGGGGAGGAAATCTTGGGCCAGTTCTGGCTAGTTGTGTTGAAAACACTCTGAATTCTTCTACTGTGACTCTCCAGAAAGTACAGGAGAAGTCAAGACTCCACAAATCGTACAGTGATCAAATAGACTTGAACAATTGCTCTGGAGGAAATGTTGGTCCAAACCGCAACTTCACCTTGAATCTCAGTTCTCCTGCCTGCAGAACACTATGCGGTTATCACTGGTCAGCTCTTCTTGAGTTGCAGGTAGCTATATAGTGAGGCATTAGAGACAATAAATTGCCTCTTGCTTGTGGTGGCTTGTGCAGTGTGTCTGGGTCTTTGCTAAAGAAACAATTTCCTTCCTTGAGGCAGTGGATACTGGATTTTGTGACTTACGTTCAAAAAGCTAGTACTTCATGCTGACAATTCTGCCAACTGTCTAGCCTATTTTTTAGCAAGGGGTATGGTTATCAACATAAAGTGAAGCAGGTACTTTGGATTTAGTGCCTTAATTAAATATTCCCTATGTCAGCAGCCTGGAGGAGGAAGTGGTTTTCATGTACCTGGTGTCACGGTGACCGAAGATTCAGTAAAATAACAGTGCTTTTACTTTCATGTCTGACAGTCAACTCCCCAAGATTATCACTTGCTAGTGGACCACTGCATGAGTATATACATCTGCCTACCTTGAGGGTTGTCTTATTATTAGCACTGCTGCTATGCCATTTTGTTCTTAGGAAGTAAGAGATCTGCTTTTCCCTCCTTCCTCTGCAGTTTGACCACAGTTAGAAACTAAAAGTGGAAGTTCTGTCACTTAAAAGTGTCAAATTGCCAACAGATGCTTTATGATAGATCCCCAGGTAGACGTGCACTTCTTCTTTTCACTGTAACATGCCAGTTTTATTGGTCTTGAGGACTTATGTGCCATACAGTCTATATGTCTTTCAAGAGAAACTTCTATCTGTGGCTAATGTATATACTTGCATATATTTGGTCTCACTCTAAAAATGTGTCGGATAATACGGTGGATTTAATCTGTGTCTGTGGTTTATCGGCTTATCTTTTTCTCTGGGTGTGAAGAAGTCTGAGTTTGTGCATCTTTATCTTCTCCAGGCCTGGCAATATCTGGGAACCACCCAAGCAGAGAATGAACAGGAGCTTTTGGCAATCAGTGCCCTCAGACAGTGAGTGTTGCAGAGGAGCTTCTGAGTACGGCTCCTTGTCTAGTGCACAGTGCCACAAGGACCATAACGACTAGCATGGTGTGCTCTGTCTTGATTATGTTACCTCCCGTATCTAGGTGTCTCCTGGAGTGATTTAATACTGTATTCACTTTTCTTTCTTTGACCTGCAGGTGCTTGGAACTGCAGCCTGGGAACCTCACGGCACTTATGGCTTTAGCGGTCAGCTTCACCAACGAGTCCTTGCAGAAGCAGGCATGTGAGACTTTGCGGGACTGGCTACGCCATAAACCGGACTACGCTCACCTGCTGGAGAAGGAACCAGAGGAGAGTGCCTCGGGGACAAACCTGGGCCCTCCCAAACGTGTCCTAGGTTCCCTGTTGTCCGAGTGAGTTAGGATTACAAATTTCAGCCTTCACTTGAAAGGCTTCTCGGAGGGTTGGGACCGGTCCAGGCAGGAGCAGAGGGAGCAATATAAGTCCAGCTGTCTCCACAGTACGCCAGTATCTTTGTTTTGTGCTTTTCCAGCTCACTGTTCATGGAGGTGAAAGAGCTGTTCTTAGCAGCTGTGCGCAGCAACCCCTCAACTGTGGATCCTGATGTTCAGTGTGGCCTGGGTGTCCTTTTCAACCTTAGCGGCGAGTACGAGAAGGCTGTGGATTGCTTCAGTGCTGCACTCAGTGTGCGCCCCAATGTAAGAAAGGGCAGACTGGATGCTGGAGGTTTACGGGTGAAGGTTTGGGTGGAGGTGCTGCTTGTATGAGAGGTACATATTTAGAGTGGAGGAATAAGACAGACACATGGGGAAGAGAGGGTTGGCTTGGGGCTTAAGAAAGACCCAGTTTATCTCAGCCCTTTCTCTCTGCCCCCTCCTCCAGGACCATCTTCTATGGAACAAGCTTGGTGCCACCCTGGCCAATGGGAATCGGAGTGAGGAAGCTGTGGCTGCGTATCGTCGGGCGCTGGAGCTCCAGCCAGGATACATCCGCTCTCGCTACAACTTGGGCATCAGTTGCATCAACTTAGGTGCCCACCGGTGAGCATAGGATGGGCAGATCTGCTGTGATCCATGAGTGTGCATGTGTTTGTGGGAGAGAGACTGTGGTAGGTTACTAGGGCAGTGCCACACTGCCTGCAGCCTTCCCTTGGCGTAGGAGAGCAGAGCGAGTGTGTGGACTCTGCCCTGAGGAGAAGGTATCATGCAGATGCAGTTGGAGTAGGTGCCATCTTGACTTCAGTTTCTGTTAAGAGGGAGAAGGAGGATCTCTGGTTCTGGAGTGGGGCAGGATCTGGTGAAGAGGAGGAAACTGTTTTGGAGGGAAACTACTTTAGAAGCAAATGGGGGAGGGAGTATGAGATTTACCGTGTTCTCCAATAAGCATGTGTATGTTCTCATGTTGACAGTGAGGCTGTGGAGCACTTCTTAGAGGCTTTGCATATGCAGCAGAAGAGCCGAGGTCCGCGGGGGCAGCAAGGCGCTATGTCTGACAACATCTGGAGCACCCTCCGCATGGCCCTCTCCATGCTGGGGCAGAGTGACCTGTATGGGGCAGCTGATGCCCGTGACCTCCCCACACTGCTTCAGGCATTTGGCCTCCAGCAGTGACTCCTGGATGGGCTCCCCTGTGAGTGCAGGGTTGGCCCAGCCCAGCAGTGACCTTCCTTAGAGAGAAAACGTTCACTAAGGTTCACACATATCTTTGCTCTGGTAGGGCAGATCATTGGCAACTGTTTTTTCACGGACCTCCCACTGAAGTGTGCAACTTCCCTACTTGTCTGTTGTGGCCTGAGCATCTCTGAGCGGTTCGTGTTATCACCTCTGTGATTAACTGAAACTCTGCTGGTAGGCAGATGATCAAATTGGGGAAGGCAGCAGCATCCAGCCTTCTTGCCAGACTGCATTTGCAGTAATGCCCAGCTTGGCTATGAGGCCTTACGATAGCCATTCTGCAGAGACTACCTACGGGACACGTCTCAAGTGCAGGTTGCTTTGGTGGGGTGGGATTGCCATTTGGTGAAAGGCTGAGAAATTCTGGGTTTGAGCATGCTTCCCCCATGTATGTGCTTGCATGTGTGTATATGTGGGTTGCTAGGGGAAACTGAGGGCAGCAGTCCCCTTTCCTGGGTACTGGTAATTCATGGTACAGCCAGATGCTAGTTTCTCAGTGTCTCTTCATGAAGCTTTTAAGAGCAGAGTGTTGTACTTATGCTAGGGACACGGGTGGAGGCCCTTAGCCTGTCAGGGTAAGAGGAGATCCCAGAGTTCAGACTTGAGGGAATATGATAGGAATAAAGGCCTAAAATGTAACCTCCCCTCTGAGAATATGGTGGGGAAGGGGTCAAGTCTTAATTTTCACTTGATCATCTCTCCTTGTTTTCCCTTGTGCAGAAGTTCCCATCTTGTGTGTAACTGAATCTTGTTAATTATAAATATCTGTATATGATTCTATTGGGGAAAATGTTTTTTAATTGTAAAGTATTTTGTATAATAAAGGAGGGAGAATTAAAATTGCCAAAATAACATCTTTCTCTGTGCCTCTGTTGGAACTGCATGCAGTGGGTAGTACAGGTCTCTGGGGGTATAAGCTTGCTGGTTTTCAAAAGATAAATCAGAGCCTCTCTCAGTTTCTGTCTCGCTTCTTGACCCAGGTTTTGGTTTATTGATAGCAGATATGCAAATGAAGCTTTAAGGATCTAATTTTGCTGTAGCCTCACGCTTCAGTTCTGTGAGCCAGCAGAAGAGCTTCCCTGTGCCAAAAGCGCTCTCTCTCCTTGCTTAGATTCAGGGGTCAGTGAAGCTTTTTTTTTTTTTTCTTTCATTTTCTTGCTATCTGCAGCGAGGGAAGTTGTGTTACATTTTATCATCTCTTTACTGCTGCAGTAGTCAAGAGCCAGGAGCTTAGGCAGGGAGCACTTACCCTTCCTCTTCCACCAGGCTCCTGTTGTGGTGGTGCAATGCCTTCCGCTCCACTTTAGGTCATTTGGTGCTTAGTGCAATTTGCCCCACCTGAGCCACGTAACAATGCAAAGGACCAGAACGTTATGTCAACCCCTTAGCACCTGGGACACATAATGGACCAACATAAAAGAAACAAAGTGAAGGGTGATGGACCAGAAGGTTGTAGCAACCCCTTAGCGCACCTGGCTCCCGTGACTCCTGTTGCTTGGAAACAGTGATGGTAATCGATCATTCCTGACATTATATGGAGTGTGGCCCAAAGAGGGGGGTGATACCAGAACTTCAAGATCTAGCAAGTTCTGGGCTTGCGCAACTGGTGGAAAATACCAGAATATCCCATTGTCCGAGCTGGACTGGAGTGGAAAAGTACCTGATGAAAGTCAATTATCTTGGACCCTATAAATAGTGATTCTAACGAGACCCTTTGAGCCCTTCTGGATTGCAGCGAGCTGTGACCAGTATCTCTCCAGAGCTGGAACGCTGTTCAGGCAGACACCTCGAGGACTAAAAGGCCAGGGTGAGTCAACCCCCCTTGAGTCTGTTATAGCCCGCTGAGGAATGCCAATGTATTGCGAGTATTTACTCCAAACTCGAAAAGAGGGAAATTTTAACTATAGGTGAACTTCTCTTTTGCCCACCTCTCTGTCCACGTGTCTCTAATACACACATTAACTCTTAAAAGTGTGGGTGTTCTTACATTTTACTGTATCCAAATACTTACTGTCTGTTTGTCTGGGTGCACGTAAGGAATCAAAAGGGGCACCTGTCAGCTCACTGAAGTCATCCACTGTGAAGAGACCTTTGGTCCTAGCTGTTGAAGATTCGTGTGTGTGTTTGTGCTCATATGCATATGTATTGATTTGGGATATCTTATAGTAAGTTAGTGTGAATCTTGTCATTTTTGAATCTGTAATTAAGTCACTGTTCAATTATTTTGTTAAATCACTTTGTAAACCTCTAAACCAATTAATGATCAAGAGGTTGAATTTTAGCAGCACTTAATCTGCCTCAAATCATTAATAAATTTTGAATTGCTGCTAAATCACAACCATGTCAAATATTTCCATCCATGACAAATTGGCTGTAGTCAGTAGGATGACAAGCAAAATCACCGAATACTTACAAAAACATGGTATCCAATGAAATCCCACCTTCCCAGAGGATTGGGCTTGTAATAATTGGCATATCTGGGAAGAGGTAGAGAAACAGTTAACTGGTGCTAGAGGTACAACTAAAGTTGGAAAGGATAAAGGTATAATTTGTAAAATTCTGCAAGTGTGCCTAGAAGCTGCCTGTCAGGAGAGAGGAAAACTTACTCAAAAAATACAGGACTTACAGAATAAGATAGAGAGGAGGCACAAATCTGCTGAACTGTTGTTATAAGTTAAAATAGAACAACCACAAAAACAACTTAATGAATCTCAGCTTAAACAAGAAAAACTGGAGCATGTGTTGAATTGATGCTAATGCAGTCTCCACATCCCCCTGACATAGTTCAAATTAGAAAATTGTGTTTCCCAAAGACTGGGATGGTAATATCTAGGGTGCTTCAAATAATAATGGCTCAGACAACAATAAGACTAAGAGAGTTGGGGTTGTTCAGCCTGGAGAAGAGAAGGCTCCAGGGAGACGTTATCGCAGCCTTCCAGTACCTAAAGGGGGCCTACAGAAGAGCTGGGGAAGGACTGTTTAGTAGGACATGTAGTGATAGGATGAGGTGGAATGGCTTTAAACTGGAAGAGGGCAGGTTTAGATTGGGAAGGAGGAATATTAGGAAGAAGTTTTTCACTTTAAGGGTGGTGAGGCACTGGAACAGGTTGGCTAGAGAGGTTGTGGAAGCTCCATCCCTGGAAGTGTTCAAGGCCAGGCTGGATGGGGCTTTGAGCAACCTGGTCTAGTGGGAGGTGTCCCTGCCCGTGGCAGGGGGGATGGAACTAGATGATCTTCAAGGTCCCTTCCAACCTAAACCATTCTATGATTCTGTGACAATAATTCTTCCCATCTGCCTGAACCTCCCCCATTCCCAGTCAGACCAACTATTAAACCAGAAGTAAATACAGAACCTCAGGGTGGTAAAGGAGAAAAAACTATTAAAACAACTCCATTTCATTCAATTCAAGCCAATTTGTAGGATCGCTATGGCTGTAAGCATGCAGAAGCTGAATACTATGGCGAGTGTCTCTAATGAGGTGAGATAGAGTCTTGCTAGATGGCAAGGAAGCCAATGGCTATTGGGGCCCTGGTGTCTTTTTAAATGCTGGCCCTGACCCCCCAAAGGACTCCCACTTACTAACCAGAACAGTAGTACATTGGGCTAGTGGTACTGCTGTCTTAGAAAGGGGAGAACCCCTATTAATACCTGTCAGATCTACAGATGAGCTCTCCATAGCTTTTACAAAGGCTGTCTGTATTCAAGCCATGCATCAATGAGACTCCGCTCATGTTCCTATCTCAGCACTGGTAATGTAACTCCTGCTATACTTAAACCGCTAATAAAAGGAGCCCCTGCTGCAGTCAAACCTATCCTTATTGCGAAAAGAGATGAAATCCGTAGGAACTTAAAGTATAATGAATTCATACATTTCACAGAGGCTGTTAAAGAAGGTGAGGGCAGAGAAGATGAAGAGGAAGATGAGTCAGGTTGCACGGGGGTCCCCACCTGGGCAATGTTAACGCATGAAACTATGAATCACATGCAAGAAATGCGATGGGATGAAGTTTCCAGTGAAATGAAAAATACAGGTTGCGCTGTTAGGTGAATTTGGCAATCACATCAAAACAGCTCTCAAGAACCAAAATTCTCTGACCGGCAACTGAAGGGCCAGGGGTGGAGAAATGAGTTATGGAAACAAGCATTGGCACTAGGAATTCCTAGAGCTGTGATTCAGAGGCGGCACCATACTCTAATTCAAGCGTTCCAGAAATGCAACCATCCAAACACTCCAACTCCTCCATCGCTAGCTCCTAGAAAAAAAAATAACCCTTTATCCCCTCATAGGGATCAGTTACAAAGCACAAACCCAAAAAACCTAACAATGCCCAGATGGCGATTGGGCTGGCCTGTCCAGCAAGTAGAAGCTTGTCAATGGCTAAATGAGAATGGCCTTTACATTTTAATTCCAGTCAGTCCTCGAAAACAGTTAACAGAATTTTTAATTGATGCTGGAGCACAAATTTAAATTATTACACAACAAGACAAGGTGGGCTTATGATCTGGATGGGAAAAGGTTAAAATTACTGGGGTTATGGGAACTTGTGCTGTGTGCCAAACCGCAAAAGCTAATTTATGGCTCCCCGGCAAAAAGCGTGACACATCTATTCACTTTGCTGTTAAAGATTACTATGAAAATATTCTAGGTTTTGATGCTTTGAACGGCCAGACTTGATGTCTGCTGGATGGTAGTTTATGGTATTTTGGTTCAAATGCCAATCCTAACCCTAATAAAAATCAAACCGCCACAGTACGTGTACTCTGCGCAGCCCCAGTACCTGCTGAATCAAAGATCACAAAGATCACTGTCCTGCAGTACGCAATTTCTGCTGCAGCGTGGACTGGAGTTTCAGAAGTAATTGCAGATTTAGAAATGGGAAGGTATCCAGTACACCTTTAATAGACTCCCACAGGGGTATAAACATTCACCCACCATTGCTCATCTGCGCTTGCTGAACTTTTACAGACAGTTCTGCTCCCTGAAGGAGTAAAACTATCTCAAAATATATAGGTGATATTGTAATTAGAGGAACCTGCCCTGAAAAGGTGAGGGAAGCAACAGTTTGGCAAATATTGCGTGCAGCAAACATTGAAATTCCACCTGAAAAATGTCAGGGACCACACAGAGAAGTGAACTTTCTGGGCACTTGGTGGATTGCTGGAAGCACAGCAGTTCCACCAGGCACTCTGGATAAAACAGAAAAATCACAGGTGCCCCAGTCTAGGAAAGAATTAAAACAGCTGATGGGTACTTTAAGGTACTGGAGGAAATCTGTACCT